TATAAAGTGGTCCAACAAATATTACAAATATTGAAGAAATCCAGATAAGCACAAAGAAATAAAAAAAATCTGAAATGTTAGGCAGAGAGACAGAGGGAGAGAGAAACACAGAAAAAGAGTGAGAGCGAGAGTGAGAAAAGAAAAATTAGATTGACAGCTTAATTAAAGGATAGACCGTTCTTCCTTTAATTAAGATTTCAATCTTATTTCTCTCATTCTCTCTCTGTCTCTCTAACTCCTTAGCATTTCACATTATTTCTTGATTTGGTTTAATTAGGAAGATTAAAGTTAAGACGAAACTAACTATACAGAAAGACAATACCGAGTAGTGTTTAATGTTGAACCTTCGAATTAACGACGAAAGATTAATAAAAAGAAGCCTACTGAAATACGATGCAAAACGGAGACTAAGAATTAAGGCCAAGTCAGACAAATATAATTCCTTTTGAAGAGACGCAAGTTGATCTTGGACCAAACACATGGACAGTGTTCAAGATTGGGATAGACAAAGCACTCATAGGGAATTTTGATTGTGGATTGTTCAATGAGCCATAAAGGTAAATAACCACATGCTAATTTGAGAAATGTTTTGGGAACTTACATTAAAAGAGGACTGGCAAAAATAGGACTGTGGATTGGAACAGTTATGTGGTCTTTGTGAATCAGATTTGATTGAAACATTATCTGCTTATGGATGAATAGCCCTTAAATTATATATTACAGATGTGTACCAATTATCACAATTTGTTCTCTTGTTTCAAATTTGCCAACAAAGTTTGAGCAGCATCATGACCGCAACTAAATGCATGCAACATTTACTGGGGTTTTGGGGTGGTTGTGGCAGTGGCAAGCACAACGGACACTGCACGACGGCTGCGTCATTGACATTGTTGTAGCATTATCAAATTTCAACGGGATAGCGTTATTAATAAAACATTGCAATAAATAATAAATGTGAAACACAGCGACGAAAACCCCCAACGGAAAAGTAAAGAGACAAATTGCTAACTTTACAGCAGACAGCGGAGCAAAATGAGTTTCAATTATTAAAAACTAGCTATTCTCTCGATGTAACGCGACTGCAAAGTTTTTACAGACGATTAAACACTGTTATGCCAAAATTGTAATGTGTACACAGGGTTGGATTATCATTAATATTAAATTAAAAGACTTTTGGCTTTGCATGCATAAGATTGGTTTCGGAACCGGAATCAGACAATTTTTAAAACCCATATACTCGAAATAATATTATTTGTCCCGAAAAGGCCATTTCGGAACCAAAGCATCATAATGAAACATCATAACTTAGGTGTATATATCTTAATATGAATGTGCTTAAGCTGGTATACGAGAGCATATATTCGAAATTTGATGTCTTTAGTCTATGGGATCAATTGGTTCATATAGACGGACATGGCTGGATCGACTCTGCTGTTGTTTCTGATCAAGAATGTTTGCCTCATGGTGTAAAAAGATAGAACGGTTATTTTACGCATATCCTGCTGGCACTTCAATTTCATTATAAATTAACAAAAAAAAAAAACAACTTTTTGCTTAATCAAGAATTTTGTATTGTGCCATATATTGGTAGCGCACCGTCACTAAATATCATACAGAAATGTGGAAGAATTTCGGAATCTTTCTCGATATTTTTATACTTTACGTACCAGAATCGAAATCGGATCGAAAATTCATTGCGGTTTGACACCCTGCTTATTTCATACCCAATATAGGATTCTGGTATTTTAGAAGCGGCCATCTCTCTGTTTGAAAAATATTTATTTTAGACTAGGTCTTTTATAGTAACTTAACTTTTATAATTATAGACAGTTCATGTCTAAAACATACTCTCTAAATATCTAAAAGGTTGCTTTGCCTACTCTGTGTGTCAGAGTTCTCCTTGAACTAATTTAACTAAAAGGGCAAATGGAGCAGAATTGGCCACATCGTTGTCCTTGCAAATGTATTTATCCCCCAGCACTTGACTATAAGTAAATAAGGCAGTGAGTGTTTGTCTCTCTCTCTCCCTCTCTGTGTGTGTTTCTATTTATGTACACTCAGAAAAAAAGCGTTCTGAATTTAATTATATTAGCAACAAAAAAGCAAATGATAGAGAACATCTTAAATATTGGACATATTTTTTCTAAATTTTAAGCTTTATCCTGAAATTAGGAAAAGAAAAACAATCGTTTTTAAAAATATGCTTTAGTAAGTTGAGTTATTTTTGGCGTCAAAAGTATGGCGAATTTTTAAAATTCGGGGCCATGTTTTTTTTGAGTGTATGTATGTACATTGTTTGTGTGACAATAACAATGCCATTATTCTTCAAGGCTTTGCCACAATTTGAAATGGGGCTTTACTAGCGGTTTGCCTGTGGCTCTGTGTCTGTGTCCCTCCATTACTATCTATTACTTACACTTAAGCAACTGCGGCTAGTTTTGACTGCCACCAAGTGAAATCAGTCGGAATGAAGCAACAAACATACATTTGGAAATTGAAATCAATGAATGCTACTAAACAAGCTCTTTAATTAAAGATCCGCGTAGGGTATTCAACAAAATAATAATACCAAAAATTAACTGTTCAACTGTAAGTAGAAAAGGATGCCTCTGAAATTTCTTATGTTCATAACCCCAAATAAACCTACTACTACAGAATTTACATATCAAATAATTGCTGTGTGCAACTATTAGTAGCAACTTTCTAATTGCTAAACTAATGAATGCAACGAGAGGGATCTATGTTGCTCTCCTGCATTTAGAAATATAAGAAAACTTAACAAGTTCATTGTGAATGAATAATATCCGATTTTCATATAACAAGGCAGAATTACATCCTATTGCTGCAAGCTGTAATGATCGAATTTTAGCTGTATAAAATTCACTTTAGATATTTCAATTTTAAATTGATAATTGCTCAGAAAGCTATTTGGCATGGTATACAGATATAGATAGAAGTGGATCAAATTTAGTTGTTAGGATATATATCGCAGTGTTAATTGCAAAGTGTTCGTGACACGAGATTAAACACGACATGCGCCCATCACGAATGCGTACCTGACAACACCCTGAAGCCATATATGAAGCTTTTTATGGCGCTGCCTTTAGTTTATATTGTTAATAAAACATTTCATTTTACGCCAAATGATTCTCATTCGTTGGACGCGTGTCTCCGTCTGTCTTCATGTCTGTCCCTGTCTGCCTTCATGTCGGTTGTTATGTCAGCTGCATTTAATTTGCTGCCCAAGTTGACTGTAAAAACACGTCGAATAAAAGTGAAATAAAAATGTAGCACTTGGAATACATTTACTGCGAGCCCGTCTGTCAAAAGTTACTTAACACCCACACACACACACACACACACACACACACACACACACACACACACACACACACACACACACAGACGTGCAAACAGCAAGGATTAAGAGTAAACGAAAGAAATTACAGTTTTAATCATATGAATTAAATGCAACCACAATGTGAAAAGGGACAAATGCTATAATGCAATAGTTCTTTAAAGTTGAGCGCTCTTTAAAACCCATCAGGACCAGGCAAGCGTTAGGTAATGGCAGACTCACCAAGAGTGGGGGGCAGGGGAGAGCAGACAGTGTGTGTGTGTGTGTGTGTGTGTGTGTGTTGCCAGTGTTGGTCGCCTGCTGTGCATTGCTGCGTATGCCAAAGCTTCCGTTGGCTATCCAGAGAACTGTTTTTCGATGACAGCGATTGCCCCGGCCAGGAAAAAGCGTCAACGCTTCATTGGATATTAGGCAATCATAAGTAGAACGTCGCCTTCTGTCTGTCCAGCTGTCGCTAGTCAACTATCTCGCCCTCTCTTTCGTTTTCTCTCTATCTCTCTCTCTCTCTCTCTCTCTCTCTCTCTGTCTGTCTCTTTTGCGCTATCTGTCTGTTGAGTGTAAGTGCCACAACGACTGGTCTCTGGCCGCATAGCTGCCCTTTTCGCTAAAAGGGAAATGCTCCACAAAAAGTGGAGTGCCTGCGGCAAACGAGGCAGTGTTTGGTTGCATGACACGTTGGCCAGGGGAGTGGGAGGGGGGAGAGAGAGAGAGGGGGCGCTTACCGGAAAGCAATGTTAGCGTTGCCAGAGCTTTCAACTGCAGACTATGCCCGATTCAATGTGGCCTCTTTCTGCCCCCAGCAGGGGGTTGGGCCGCAAAATGGTGAGGGCGACTGCCAGCCAACTGCCACAAACGGACGTCGTCTTGTTCTCTTTGCTGCATGCTGAGCACTCAAATCGGAACATTTTTCAGATTTCTGTGTAGCATCCATACAATATTTATGCATACTTGTTTTTGCACTCCGAGAACTGAAACCAAGTGACATTGATATCCTATAATCATACAGAAAAATTATTTTTTAAGCTGAGGAGCTTAAAGATTTAGCTAAATTAAAAGAAACAACAGAGAACGTTGCAGTTGGACGTAACCGACTCCGAAATACTTTGATGCACGTAGCATGTAGGGTGGGTGTACCGACGAAGAAATACCGTTAAAGTTTGCCTTTCAAATTGCCGTAGATATCAGCTAGTAACGTTCCTTCGATCGGCATTGGCGATTATGGGCGCAGGTGCGGGCGTGGCCATACAAATTTATTATCAGTTCTTAAAGACGGCTACCAGCAATATATCTACCAATTTTGACGGCTCTTACTCAAAAACTGCGAAAGATATAGCCATTTCCGATTTTTAGGTGTGGGGGCCTGGGGTCGGCGGAGGTGGTCGTGGCATATGCCGATCTTTGACGGACCTCGCCAACCACATGAAGACAATTATCGATTTGCATATTTATTAAATTGGATAGAAATAAGCAAGGAGTGTCAGAATCGAATTTGAACGAGTTGACGGGAAGTAAAGTTGAATATTAATTTCTGTTCAAATTATTCCTTTGCCCACATTAATAAAAGCATTTCTGATTTTTTGTAATTTTTTTTTTGTATTTTTTTTTTAATGGGATTTTATTTGTATTTGAATTATTTATTTGGTTTATATTTATACTATTTACGCATACATATATTTCTATTTGCTTTACTTTGCCTTGTGCGCTTGACTCCAGATGCTTCTGCGCCTTTCTTCTCTGTTATTCTTTGACATTATCTCTAGCAAATTGATTATCATTCATTTTTTAATTTTTATTTTTCCTTTTTTGTTTTCTTTCTTTGGTGAGTACATAATTTTCTAGATCGAAGTACATGGATTTGGTTTTTTGTGTACTTGGGAGTGTGTTGTGTGCGTTTTTATTTCGTTTCGATTAGATTCGTTTCGTATTTTTTTATCTTTTTCTTTATATATCTTAATCTTAAGTATGTCTCAATCATTCGATCAAAAAGCTTTTCTGCTGCTCCACATTTGAATTCTAATAACTATGCAAAACTTTGCGATCCAAACTTACACACATATATTCACTATTTGGACAAAAAAAATGACCTTCACATCATATTTATGAATGTGTGAATTTATTTATATTATACGAGGCCCGTTTCGCATTTGGAGATGGTGAATAATACTTTTGTATGTATAATACTTGATGTTTATGGATCATATATATGTATATGCATATGTATGTATACTGCCATTTCAATTGTATTATAATGTGCACATAACCATAAATATTCGAAATGGATATCAAATATTTACTTTTTACTTTTAACTCGACTGAGTGCCGGCAAGGTAGGGAAGGAAAACGAAATAAAAAAATTGACTCGCTTCTGATGATTTTCATATTTTATGCGTATACGGCACGAGTAGCTCTGTAAGAATTTTTAGTACTATTTATCATACCTTAGATTTGGCCATTGGAAACGCGCACACGCACACACCAACAGCCACACCCACACACACACACACACACACACACATCTCTCTATCCGCCCTACGGTCTGCTCTTTACTTATTATTTTTCGCTTACTTTGACTGTCATTTACTTTGACAGACTTTTTCCGATGCCTGTCTCTACTAATGTGGAGGTGTGTGTGTGTGTGTGTGAGAGTGTGTGTGTATACTGTGTGCTGTGCTGTGGCGTGTGTGTGTGTGTGTGTGTATTTGTTGTGTGGTAGTACTTTGTGGCTTGTGCTGCAAAGAATTGACATATTTGGTGCTCCCAACTGGAACTTCTGCTGCCACTCTACACTGAAATGCTTGAGTTTTCTTTTGGCTGCTTTGCGTTTCCGCTTGGCGTTGACTAACAGCTTGAGTTTCCGGTGGGTGGCCAGGGGGGCGGAAAGGGGGTGTTACCAAGTTTTACAAACTTTGGCCAGAATGTGTATTTGGTTGATGCTGATGATGCTGATGATGCCGATGATTATGATGATGATGCTGCTGCTGCTGCTGGTTGGGTGTGTGATTGCTGGTTGAATCAGACAGTGACATCAACTTGATTCAATTTGCTGGCAATGCAGCTTTGATATTTTCCCTTCTTCTTCTCCTATTTTTTCTCTTTGCACGCCAATTACGTTGCAGGGGTGTCACTGAAATGGGGGTGGATGGGGATTATTGATGTGGGAAGTGGGATTGCTGTCGGAAATGGGTATTAACTGAAAAGAGACGCTTCAGTTGTGTGGAGCGCATTTAGCCCAAGATCTTCTTGAAATAGCTAACGGTTTCCGGTTTTGTTAGCGAACGTCGTCGATTTGGCTTAAAGGGCGCCTCAGTTTCCTCCTGCAGGAAGTTGTGACGTGCTGTTGTGGCGCTCGTTAACTCCAGCTCCTCCTCATCCTCGGCCTCGGCCTCAGCCTCAGCCTCGCTCTCGCTATCCACTTGTATCTTTGTATCGGTCGGCATTTGAGCGGCAGCTGCATTTGTTATTGCAGTTGCTGCTGCTGATGCTGCTGCTGCTGCTGCTGCTGTGGTCGCATTTGAGCTGTTTTCATTAGCTGTTGGCTGTTTTGTTGCGGTCGCTGACAGCAGCTGAGGCGCCTCTGTAGTCAGCACTTTGCCTGCTGCTGCCCCGATTGTTGTTGTTGTTTTTGAGGTTGCAACCGCTTTGGCTGCTGTTGTTGTTGTCGTTATCTCTGTTTCTGGTGCTGCGGTCGCTGATGCCTTGCTTGCGATATGTGCTGGCATCAAGGCCGGGAAAGGAGCGGTTGCAACTACTGTTGCAGCTGCAGCTGCAGCTGCTGTTTCTCCTGCTGTTCCTGCTGCTGTTGTTGTTGTTGTAGCCGTTGCCAGTAGATTGAGGATACCACGGTCTGCCTTATGTTCCCCATGCTCGACATGCTCCCCATGCTCCCCATGTTCGCCATGCTCACCATGCTCACCGTGCTTGGCTGGCGGCACATAGTGTGATTTGACCAGAAGCATTGGCGGTATGAAATGCGAATTGTCTACCGTTTCCTTAACATGTAGGTGCAACATTTCATCGCGCGTCTGCTGCACCGGATGTATGGGATGTGCAATGCTCACCGTTGATGTACCCATCGGGATTGCTGCTGCTGTGGTCGGAGCGGGAATGTTGCTGTTCATGCTCGTGCTGCTGCTGCTGCTGCTGCTGCTGCTGCTGGTGCCAATGTGGCTAGTGTTGCTGTCGTCGTTATTGAAAGTGTTGCCAGTTGTGGCAGCAGCAGTTGTATCTGAATCCGTTTCCACTTCCGCTGCTTGTGTTGCTGTTGCAATTGTTATCTTAATGTTCATTTCGGTTGTTGTTACGTCTGCTGTAGTTGTTGTTGTTGTCATTGAGGGTGCGCTTGTTGTTGTTGTTGTGGTTGTTGCAGGCACGGCAGAGGATCTGATTACTGTTGCTGTTGTTGATGGGGGTGCTTGAGTTGTTGCTGCTGCTGCGGTTGATGTTGCTGCCATGGTTGTTGCTGCTGCTGCTGCTGTGGTTATTGGAGGTGCTTCGGTTGTTGTTGTGGGTACTGCTACGGTTGTTGTTGTAGTTGTGGGTAAGGCTCTGGCTCTTGTTGATGATGGTGGTGGTGCTGCTGTTGCTGTTGTTGTTGTAGTAGGTGCTGTGGTAGTTGTTATTATTGTGGTCACTGGTGCACTGGTTAACGTTACTGGAGCTGCTGTTGTTGTTGATGTTGCTGCTGTTTCTTCGGTGACTGCTCCTGCTGTTCTTTCAGTTATGGGCTCCATTGTCTTCAGATCTTCCAGCATTATTTTCTTTCGGTGCGGCAGAGCCTCAAAGATCTCGTTAGAGACATCGCTCTCATGATCCTCGGCCAGTTGCTCATCACTCATTGGCGGCTGATCGCCCATCATCATGTCCAGGTGGGAAATTGGCTTCGGAGTCGTTTTGCGCTTCTGTTCCTGCTGTGCCTGCAGGTTCTTGGCGTATTCGTCGTGGATGTTAACCTTCTTGGCCGACTTCTTAACAGGCATGGGAATCTGGCCGGGGATGTGATATCGAATCAGTGGCACTGGCGCATGTGCCATCATTAAACTATCGAGACTGAAGCGTTCAACGGGCACGGGAGCGGCTGTGGCAGCAGTGGCAACCTGGATCTTAATTGCACTCGCACCATAGTTGGCCATCAGGGGCAGCAATTCGATGTCGTTGTTCTCATTGTTGTCCGTGGGCATGTTGTTGATGATCTGCAGTGACTTGAAGTGCGAGTTGGTGATATCGTTGATGCGTTGCGCCTCCAAGCGCTCCTTGGGACAGATTAACTCCCGAATGGCCCGCTCACGATCCTGCAACGAATGTGTGCAGTTTGTGCAGAGTTACAACTCTGTTATTACCGTTATCACCCCCCCCCCCCCCCTCTCTCCCACACCCCGCAACACTTACCTCCTTGCCCTTGCAGGTGTGCCGAAGTAGACCCTCCTCCTGACAGTTGCGGATCAGCTCAATGCTTGCCGTATCCGCCATGTATTGCATGGTCAGATTGGGCATATCCTTCAGTATGCAGGCATCTGCCCAGCTTGGCACTGTGCAGCAGACAACAACAAAAGGGCATACCATCAACTCATTTAAGCTCATCAAGTCAACCAGCCAACCCCTTGGCTTCCTCCTTTGTCTACTTACCAGGCATCTCGCACAGGAAAGAAGCCGTCTCGGGACCGCCGCAGCGCAGCGCATGCCAACGATAATCGCGTATGGGATCGATAACAGCGCAGAGGGGCGCATCCATTAGCGGTAAAGACTCCGCCCAGTAGCCAGTGTCCACCACCAAAGGTCGTGAGTTGCTATGTAATGTAAATAATTTCTTACTCCACACTCTAATCCAAGTTCTGGATAGATCTTCAGCTCAGCCTCTCAATTATAGTTAACAATTAATGTTTCTTTGTAATTCTGCTTATTTTAACCCAAAGTTTGCAATACTTTCTTATAAATATTAAACAGACAACAGACAACAACAGGGGAAAGTCAAATGTTGTCTGCCTTTCTTTGTTAAGTTTATGACTTTAGATATAACAGGAACGACAACAAAATATATTGAGACTTGAGATTTGATTACCCATTAATCTTTGAAAGCCTCACATGAATCTTATATAAAAAAATATTTTCTATGAATTGTTTTGCGTTTACATTTATAAAATTTAAAGGTGAAATAATACATTCAATTTATACTATCAGTTTCAGCTTATAGAAAATTACGTTACAGCTAAGATTTAGTATAGGATTAAGTGTAAAAACGATGCACTTTGAAGTTTGATATGCACACAATAAATGAAAAGTTAAAGCGTCACTAATCCAAGGACATATCGTGTTTAAATACACGCCGTATTCAGTTATCGACTCTAAGTTACGGCTCGCTCGCAAATATATTTAAAAGCAGACATAACATTCATCAATGCTCCGGCACCATAAATTCACATATCAACATCAACGATACAATTACAACGCAATGTTGTTGATTGTCGTTGCTTGGGTGTCGTTTAAATGTTGTTGTTGTTGCTGTTGTTTCTGTTCTTGTTGTTGTTGCTGTTGCTGTTGCTGTTGTGGCTGTTGTTTTACTTACGACCACATAAAACGATCCGAGTTCTGCGGTCGCATGAGTCCAATCCAAACGATGTCGTTCACATCCAATTCCCTTAGCAAGTCGCGAGTTGCATCAAATTGAAAACTGTTGTCAACTGGCAAAAAAAAAAAAACAACAAAAAAATATTAAAAAATTTAAGATACCGAACAAAAGGAAATCAAGAACAAAAGCGAGTGAGAAAGGAGAAGAGAATGGAAACGAAACAAATGGTTTTTATTTGTTCAATACGAATATTTCTATTTAATTTGCCAAGCGCATTGTTTTACCATGTTGGGTGTGGGACAGAGACAGCGACCCCAAAAGCACTCGACACCACTGCTCTCCATAGCACAACCATAAAACCACCTAAGCCACCACCAAAACAACCGAGGAGCCCCAAAGAGACAGCTGCTAATCCAGTCCGATCCTTGTAGACCAAGCTGTAGATATCCAATAACGAGCGACTAAAATACCCTTTACTTTTCTTGAACTGAACTTTGTTTCTAGTCGCTTTAAATTAAAGAATCACATTGAATCTAAAAAAAAATCCGACAGGGTTTCTATAATTGTGAGATAGTGTTTAGTTCATTCCTAGGTACTGTTTCAAGTTGAAACATTTTTGTACTTAAGAATTTCAATTTTTTACACTTCTTAATAGCTTCTTCATAACTTAAATCCATTAACTATTTTAGTGCAATTTGAATACAAATAAAACTTAAGACACTTTAAACCCTGAAAACAGGGAACGGAAACTTGGTTTTTTTCTTCTATTTGACATTGTTGATTTTTTGCTTATACTCGTTGTTTTTCAGCTGTGCAGTTGTGTATCAAGTTGTTCCTATTTTTTTACATCTTTTTTCTCATTTCATGTTGTTATTTCACACATTTACATGCATCCCTGCACCTCAAATTATTTGTGCACACTGCTCCTCGTCACACTCAGTTGACCCAAGGACAATTGTGCGCCCGAATGAACTTTTGGTGTTGTACACAAGTTGAAGGAAACTATATATAAAAAAAAAACATATGAATCTATTTATAAGACAATGTAAGCATAGAATTTGAGTGGAATTTCTGAGTTTACATATCTCTGGTGAATTTAAAAATTCGAAATTTCTGAGCTTACATATCTCTGGTGAATTTAAAAACTAAATACGGTTCGCAACTAAGAGTGGTATCAGTTCCAAGACCTGTAATTTAAGTATACCCGTCGAAGTCCACCAAGTGTCTACCACATTTTCAATGCATGTATTTGATAAATGTTGGTTAATTATCTCTTTTTATTTAATTAATTAAATAATTAAGCAACATATGTGACAAGCAATCGTTTAAAGAAATTGGATTTAGTTTTCAGCATCGAAAACAGCTGACCCATTGACCCACATATATCTTGTCGATATTCTGATTTGTAGCTCATCAGATTTGCAATATTTATCAGATTTTACAGATTTACAATGCGGCAATACAATTTGCATTATCTTTGAGTGGCATGCACAATTTATCAACAATCTACTTACGCATACTTATCCATTTACGAGGAGAGTATGCCCATAAGCCAGTTGAGCGACCCTTTGTTGATTTGGCTGTGTGTTCCCCACTTCCCCGGTTCCTGTTGGGCAACACGCTAAGGCCCGCATTGCAGTGACCAGTATTTGTCAAAAGGATTTATTGTGTTACGGACACAGTAGAGTGAGGAAATGGGAGAAATGTGGAGGTAGAGGGGCAGATAGACAGACAGGCAGGCATATGCGCATGATATACATGATAAATACTTAGCTGACCAAGTTCATCGGCATACTGTTAGGACACAGACATTGAGTGCTACATTATCCACACACCCCAATCCTGATCATACATAGGGCTTCAGCTCTTGGGTCTTTGGCACTCTGGATGACTGCATCAGTTTGCTGTTGTGTTCGTTGGCCAGCAAATAGCTGTCAACATTGTTACAACGGCTGCCGGACATTTGCAACCAAAGCCCCTCGACTCTCCACCCTTCACCCGACACCCTTTGTTACCTTGGTGGCCTGGTGTTTGTTTTGTGCTTTGTGCTTGGTCTCTTGTCATTGGGCTTATTTGCATTTCACATTGTGTTGGCGTTTAGCATAGCTTTATATATATATATATATATATATATATTCATTTCATTTATATATATAATTTCATTTCCCTTTAGCCCATTTGTGTAGCTGGGGACAGCAAATACAGCCATGTATTGAATATCCCTGCTGGCTTTGTGGCCAGCTTTCTTGTTTAGCTGTCTGTCTTGCTTACCTGTTACAAGATTGGCATGGTGAAACTGGCAAACGGCATCCGCCTCGAACCAGGAGATGCGATCACGAAAGAAGCGATAAAACACATTCAGGCCCTCCTGTGGCATTGTCCAAGTGTTGCTCACATTCACCTGCAAGTCACAAAAGGAGATATGTAGAAGATGGGCACAAGAATTTATAAAAATAATGAAGAAGGAGTAGTAGGACAAGAAGAAGAAGAAGAAGAGGAAGTGGAATAAGAAGAATGCGCAACAGGGGAAACCTGAGATGCATGGAAGGAATTTGTTACTTGTCGCTTTGGTTGTCAACGCCGCAGAGCTGAGGCGTATGCTTAATGCATTAAGTATACGCCACGTAAAAGTGCCTACATATTAAATGTTGTTCCTCACACACACGCACACACACTTCTTTAATGAGGCAGCAACATAAAAAATACACACTCTCACATATTATGCATGCAAATGTGAATATATATGTATATTTATATATATATATATATGTATGTGTGTGTTTTGTGCGTGCCTATGTTTAAATGCGGTTAAGAAAATAATAATAAATAAATAAAAATAAAACAAGAAAGAACAGCTATCTGGGGCTTGATGTACATTAAATACCCTACCACACTTGGAGGTCTTTTCAATTCAAACAACAAGCTGGTCAGTCATAATAACTTTGTGCCTGAATATTTGAAATATAATGAAAGAATCTTCAATTTTGTAAGGAGAACCATGATATCTAAAAATAAAGAGGCAACAATAAACTTACAACTCAATATTTAATGGATTGGGTTTGGATATGAAGTTTAAGCGTTTTTCACTGTGTCATCAAAATTAGAGTAAAATTTGCTTAAAAATATATTTCTATGTGCGATGGTATACATAAGACAGTTAGATATAGTAGTCCGATGTGATATTTGCGAAAACAACAACGTATTCGGTACACCGTCTCAATTTGCGACTGATTGTTCCTTTGTACACGGGGCCTACACATCAGCAGCAACATCAACATTATTCGTGAAGACTTAGCTGTTGTATGTTGTTTATGACCATATATACTATATGGGCTCAGAGATGTCTTCTTCAATATGTTACGCGCTTTGTGACAAAATTAAAACACACCCCTTGCCCCGGCAAGTGTATACAAAGGCTGCCACACGTGCGTCTGTTGGCAGGCATTCCACACATATATATACATATGTACTTCATTAGCTCAGGCAGCAGCCGGCTCAACGACGAGCAGCAGGTGACTGAGGGGTTAAGGTAGGAGGTGGGATATGGGAGGTGGGGGTTGGCAATATAGAAGGTGAATACCAGAGGGAGATAGCTGGCATAAGGCCTTGCATACTTAGGACAGGCCACCAACAGGCCACAAGGCCCAGAGCGAGTACATTTTTCACCTTTATGCCAACAAACAGGAAACAGTAGGCCTTGGGGGAGGGGGGAAGGTGGAAGGTTTGGGACTGTTGCGACGCTTTATGCCCGTAATGCCAATGTGACTGACTACGCCGGCACATTAACTAATTACAAATGCATGTCGGGGGTTGGGTGCAAATAGTATATGCATTAAAAACACCACACCAGACGTAGATTACGAGCACATCAAATCTTTTTATGCTTGTACACTCAGCAAAAAGGGTCTCGCATTGCAATGGGCACTTAAATTACAGTACAAATGTGCTTGACAAGCAGCCCGGAGAAGGCCAACATTTCTTGCTGTCATTTAAATTACGTTTATTCGAAACATTTGCCCTTCGTTGGCCCAGAGTCCCTCTCAGTAACGTTAACAGTAAGCTGACAGCACCTTATCAACGAGGCTAACAATAGCCTTGTTTGGCTTATGGTGTTGCCAGATGTGCTGTAAAAATATTTACTGCAGAGCGGCAACCTAAAGCTACTCAAATATTTAACAGTTAGTTAAACTTCTTGCTGTAAATGGACGGTTTTGAATTGAAATACTAAAATATAAGTTTGACAGGCGCGTTAAGGAGCGTGCATAAGGACAGCTAATTTACACACAGCTTCATCTAGACACACTCACACAAACACTCACACACACACACTCATACACACACACACACTCACACACATAAGTACCAGTATATTCTGCATATTAATGAAAATTCTTGACTTGATTTCACTCGCTTTTAATTATTTGGCTTTGGTATGCCACGTTTCCGTCCGTTTTACCACTCAGTCGTTGCTGAAGTTCTTTGCCTCTTCACTCAACATTTTATTGTTATAATTTTCTGTTTGTTTTTATTGTTTTTTATGTTCTCGCTGATTTTTTTTTTTCTTGTAACGCTTTCAAATTGCAATTAAAAGATGAAAGTACAGTGGCGCATACTTTTTGAGTCTGTAGAAAAATTTCAATTAAAAGTTAATTTAGTTAATGGAACGCTTTTTTTTTTTTGCCTCGCTTTTGAATTTTGTTTCCTTACATACACACACACACACAGACACAAATTCCAGTCTGGGCACGTGGCTCATATGGAATGCACATTGTTAATTGGCCCACAGCTAACAGAAGCAGCTCCCCTCTGACTGTGGAATCCTGAAACCAATTTGTATGTGAAACAACTAAATTTGTATTCGTTTTATGTCAGAAAAAGAATTTAATTTCTATCTGCTTCATTTGAAATACCTATTGCATCATCAATAGTATATAGTATATAGTATATCGAAATTGTCGCGTGTTTAATTAAACTTAATTTGTGTTAGTACTAAAATGCGCATTACCAACACTTTTTGAACAATTAGATATAATCTGGTCAATATTGGCATGTTTTGTATAAAATTAACTGTTCATTTAAGTATTTGTCAACTATTAAAGACCCAATGCAATAAATACCGTAGTTGTGAACTATTTAAAATATATGTCCTTATCGATTATTTCTCTTTCCATTGCTGACGGCAACAAATGAAATGGAAAATTTGCTGAATCTAAATAAGTAAAATGTTTGTGTGTAAATTCTGCATACATTAATGCAGTCATAATTAGTCAATTACTTATTCAAACACAATAATTTGAATTGTTTGCAACGTTTGCAGAAAAAATAATTATTGCGTTTACGCCCTAAACACACACAATACATATTTATTTTATATCAAGTCTGTCCAAAAAAAAATAAAATAAAATGCACAATCAACATTTTTATGAATTGATGTGCACGAAAATGCAAAAAATATTTTGTTTTATTGTTTTATTTTTGTTTTGAACATAAGCATATATAGAGGAGGGGACGAGAACAGCTCGCATATTGGGGCCACATCATGGGTCTATGTGCAACAGGAGGATGAGCAGCTGAGCTGCAGCTGCCCCACAACGGTTTGTTGACTCTTATGCCTTCTATTTGTGTTTTCATTGTTTTCTTTTCCATGTTTTTTGTTTTTATCTTTTTTATTTTTGGGGGTTTGGGGGGTGGGCGGTGGTGGCACTTAGCACTTAGTTGGAGAGCAAACAGTTCAGGTTCTTCAGCTTGTTTGACTGTTTGCCTCGTTATTCTTTGTTTGTAGTTATGATGAAGACGCGTCAAGAGCGGCCTCTTCCATTCCACGACGAGCCTGTTACAATTGCAACAAAGGAATAAGTGAAAGCACAAAAACAATATAATGCTCTTGAATACCCTGTTCGTACTCAGCAAATTAAGCAAACAGGGTATAAACTATATTTAGTAAATACCGGAAAAAGAAATGAAATAAAACCCATAGGATTTGATCACAGGGTATCTAAGAGTTGAGCCCTGACCCACTAGATCTCTGTGCTGTACAATTTCAGAATTTGCATTTCCGCTCTTTAGCCTCTTGACTTTGTCCCATTCCGTATCACTATTTGTCCTGCACTTAAGGACAAGTTTTTCGTCCGCTTTGTGTTTGTGCATCCTTTGAATATTACGTATAAGCCAAGGGTGGAAAAGGATGGGACAATGCATCGCTGGCTCCACTCACAGCCTTTATGTTTGGGACAAAAGAGTCGAGCTGCAAACTGTCCAAAAGCCAAATGCCATCATATGGCTTCGGAATCCATATTCTCCGGAATCTCTTTAGAAAAGATCGTAATGCTGTAATTTTATAGAAGCGAAAGCGCCTTAATATTTTTCCAATTGAACTGGCATCCCATTAAACCAATGTAAATGTTGCTGTTGCTGCTGCTGCTGATGATGATGCTGTTGTTTTTTGCTCTCAAGAAGTAAATGGCTGCCACAGTGGAACGGAAGGCAATGAAGCACCTTAATAAATATTGAGTATTATGCTTGAATGGCAAATAAATAGCTTCCTACACGATTGTCGATTAATAATGGCTGAATTAAGCCAACATAATTGCGGGCCATATACAGTGGGTGCCCGATAAGCGTGCCTCGCATACACGAGTGGTAATAATTGTGATTGTGTTATTTCTCCCCGGCTCCTTCTTCATCCACACACACACACACACACACACACACACACGCACATAGACAGCCTCGATTGGTTCCAATGCCACTTTGTATCCGTACATTGAAATTTAACATTCTTTATGCATAGACAGCGACACATACACACTCACTTTGCACTCACACACACACACACACACACACTCTCGAAGAAGTGGCGTGACAGTGGCGCTTAAAAATCAAAAGTGTGCAACATCCCTGCTGCTAGATGCCACACATAGATAGGGCGTGCCACTGTGCCCCACCTGGAGCTCGAGCACAGCACAACAGAGCAGAGTGTAGCCAGCATATTTTGTTTTTGTGAGTTGGGGGTTGAGTTTGGGGATTTGGCTGCCATACCTGTATTAGCAATCCTTTTGATATATTGTAATATTTTATGCATGCCAACGCTTTCAGCCTCATTTTAGGCCACACAGCCCCCATCCCTAAGCCAGACGCTTCGGAGCCTAAGTGAACATATTCTCTTCTCTTGTATTTTTTCTTCCATGTGTGAAGGTTAACTTAACTATGTCAAATGTCGTGTCATTCACAAACTCCCGTACTAACATTAACGGGAGAAAAGAAGATAGAATATCTAAGCATACACACACACACACACACACACACACCCGTACAGACACACACACACATATGCAACACCTGTCGTTACATTGTCGCATTGCGTTGGTTTATTTCGGCCCCTGATTGCTGAGTGCTTCTTAT